CAGATAAAAGCATCTGAAGTCAATTTATCCAAGTGCTGAGCCATGTACTATTAGAGTGGTTCCTGTACAGTAAAAACCTGCTTTTTCCACTCTGATTTTTCATTATAATAGAGGCTTTCAGTAAAACAGGGATTTTGCCTATAAGTCATTACCAAAACTTGAATAATTTCCAGAATAACCTTTTCCATGACAGGATACGATCAGCTTTACCATACCCATAGGCATTTAGATACACTAACAAGCTTCCAACAGCATATTTACATTTCAACAACATTTACAGCTTATATACCACTATCAATCTATATCAAGAACAAGTCATACAGTTGTTCTTAAACTCTCCTTTCACAAAATAAGACCCATCTCCAAATTATCATTTGTACCTATTAAAATTGGCCAAGCTCACTTGGAGTTTCTACAATCTTTCCCCTAATCAGAACAGCAATATTGTATTTATTATTTTTTAAACTGGGCTCATCTCTAGTTTCTCTAATAACTAGAGCTATAAAACAACACAAGCACTTCCAGAGACGTACATGAATTGTTTTTACTGTCAGGACTTCACTTGACAATAGCCAAACATTCCTTAACTCCAAGCCAACCACAACTAAGAAGCTAAAATTCAAAGTATACACTGGGACTCAAGGCTTCACATTTTTTTCTACTTCTAAAAACAAAGGTACCAAATGAAAACGTATCTAATAATTTTTGCTATTTTCCCCAGCAGCAGCACAGCATTACATCCACAGAATTACTGCACGTACAGAGATGTAGGAGCATTCAAGTTTAAGGTTGCACAGAGTTAATTCATACTAAAAGTTTCATTTGAGAAGCTCTACAAAAGTATTTCCTTCTGAGTTGTGAAATACAGGAGGCAGCAAGAGAATGAATAATGTTAGTGTTACAGGTACCTGCCATCCTCCTGCATTTGAAACAAGCAGCATTAATGTTAAATTTGTAGAAATTTGCATGTATCAGGAAAATGATTTGGAAAACAGCTGTTTCACAAAGCCCTATGGAAAACACTCTTCCAAAGTCATTACTCTGCTGATTAAAGAAATACACAGCACTCTACCGCGACCACTCACTAGCTTCACACCTCTGGAAAGAGCCTGCCCACCTGTAAATAGGTGAGGCCAACTAATTTCCTTCCTGACCCCTCAATTGTTAAGTTTTCAGGCTAGGTTATTACAATCAGTGACCAAAAAGTTTCAGCAACTTAATTTCAGCCTGTCACTGCATCCTTACACCAGTGCAAATCTTCATAAAGGGAAGTTTTACCACACTCTTTAGGAAAGTTTCCTAATTCCACTCTAGTTGGTACTGCACAAGGCAAACACCTTCGAAAAACCTTTCTAATTGGGTCTTAAGAGATTGATTTTACAAAATGAGAGCATGATTTGACAAAATGAGAGCATGATTTTGCTATTTGATCTTCGGTTGGAATCTCCAGCTTGACCCCTGAGCTAGTGTGTACCTGTGTGCACAAAGAGCCATCCTGGACGAACAGAACCAAACCCCAGACATTTATTTACACAACTGGGCATCACTACCTAATCTACACATATGAGATGTTGTCCAGAAAAAGGGCAAACTAAACTCTTCTGAGACAAAGTTCTCCTTCTTCATTATACTCAGCAAAAGGTAGAAATAGGTAAGAATAAATACGTCACAAATATTACCTTTGAAAGAGTGAGAAGAGATAAAACCATAACTAATTTCAATAATCACTTTGCATCACACTTCAGGTCTCCCCAGGATCAATATTCATTAATGGGATCCTCAAAAAAATAAAAAATAATGAAAAAAAAAAAAGGTGGCTACTCTCTCCTCACATGTCACGACATCTAAGTAGGTCCTTCTGCCACATGGCAACAGTAGTAGTGGCTTGGAGAAGGCATTTTGGGAGAACTCTTAAGGACTTCTGCCTCGTGACTACTATGAGGGGTTGTACAAGACAAACATACAGAAACTCACTTAATTCTGCCTAATTCAAGTGACCAAAAATCAAACCTGAAGGGCTTTATTTCTCTAGGAAAACATGTCACTTAATAGGAAAAACTTAGCATAAAGAATACTTCCATGTTTTCCAAAGAGATGATCTACTGAATAATATTGTAAGGGCAACTATGCTGAAGGCCAGTGTCAGTGAAAAACCAAACTCATGGATCTCAAATGATTTTTTTCTTAAAAAAGCTAAATAAGGACTGAAGTCTTCATGTTTCTATCGAGTTTATCCCACTCTGACTTCCTACAGCTTTAAAAACCACACCAGAATTTTGTACCTTTGACTTTAAAGACCCTAGTTATCAAAAATGAGTCAGTCCCTCTCTGACAAGCAATGATGCTTTTGCAATACCTTATTTACAAGTTAACACATAATTCTGTGATAAACTACTGCAGTGCAAAGATTATGCAGCCTTGAATCCCTAAGTCACCTTATAATATAAGGTGAAGGCAAATACAGTATGTTTGTCTTGTCTGCTACAGCCTGCAAGCAATCGGGGTGAGGTTTGCAGACTTCTCACGCACAGCTTGTGTATTTATAACATTGCATGCACTGTGCTGTGAAACATTTTCTCAGGTGGCTGTTTTCAGATCAAGTAGGTCTCTTCTCTGTTTGTGCTTCAGTATTTCTGTCATGCTCCCATCTAACACTTTCCCTGAAATATCACCAGTATCTTTAAAGATCTGCATGTAATTAAATTCAAGCTCTCCCCGTAGCTGCTTGTCAATAACTGGCTTATTTTGAAAGGAAATTTATACTTCACTGCTCAGATTTTTTAATTAGTTTTTAAATCAAGTAGTGTAGTACACAGCAATGCAAAGAAATAATTTAATTTTAACTCCTAGCTGTAAGGACACAGAACCAGGAAAGATCCTTGGCAAAGCCACCAGAAACCTTCACTTTGGATTAACATCTCTGGCCACAGGGTGCCTCTGCTGCTCAACAAATACTCCGAAGCTGAGCAAGTAAGTTTCTGCTGGTTAATCACCAGCTGTAATCCATAAACTGTACTCGTGCGAGCTGAAATCGATCGGCTCAGGATAAAGGTAGGTCAATATTTGATCATCCTGAAGTGCTCTCGTTAGCTGGGATTGTCAGTCTTGCAGAAGCAATGTTCACCTCGCTCAGACAAATCATTCATCTACGCTATGCTAGGGGAAAAAAAAAACCCAACCAAAACCAAACTGAGCCAGGCTGTTAGGCTTTGCATGCACCCCCAACGCAGAGGACAATGAGTTTTGGTCGAATTTCTGTAACACAAATCAAGTCTGACACGATGCACTGCTCACCAGCAACCCCATTCACAAAGCTTTTGGCATTCCTCAACTTCCACTCACCAGGGGTTCCTCAGTTTTGTTGTAGTTTTTGGTTTCAGCCTCACACTGAAGTCATCGAAGGTGTAGCATAAAAGTTTACGAAGAGCTTGGTTGATAAACTGCTTTTTGTGACAGTTTTCTAATCAGCTGACTGGAGAATACAGAGGCAATGAGATCAGGTGATAAGGGAGCAGAACAACACTACAGTTTTGAGTACAAGAGGGCTGCAGCATTTTGGCTGGTTGTATTAAAAATGCTCAGTTCAATCTCAAGGGCAACAACGCCTCAGTTGGAATATTCCCCCAGTACAGAACCACTGGTATCTACATTCGTACCATATAAACTCTATTTTAACTAGTGAATAAACCAACATTGTAAAGCCCAGCACACACAACTTTCCAAGTCACTGGAAAAAGAAAAAAAAGCTGTATTTTAAAGAAACAACTCCAGCAGATTTCATTGACTGCACTATGTACTGAGTGGGTTCTTCCCCAGATATCTGATTTGCCATCCACTGAAGTATACAATGTCTAAATGATCTTGAGTTACAGGTTACTTAAAAAACACTGTATTTGTATAGTCCTCCCTGAAGACAAAGCAAAGCCCAGCCTCTAACTTATCACTCCTTTCTAAGTGATTAAACACTAGTATGAGTTTTTAAATTTATTTCTAACGTACCAGGACTACAAAAGTCACACAAAGAACATGATAAAGAGGCAATACAACGCAATCAAAGCAAGCAGACACTCAAGCTCTGGAAAAAAAGACACTTCACTGACTCTTTATTTCAAGAGTTCAAATCATCTTTGCACACACACAAGACTTCCATCAAGTTCAACAGGAGTCGTGTTGCCACAGCGGGTGCAGCAATGATACCCGACTGCCATGAACATTTCTGGACATAAAAGCTTTGCAGTCTCATGTAAATATTTACATCTGCCAGTTTGTGCTGAATGCTCACTGACACAGAATGCAAAAAGTTTCTAATGCTGGGTACGCGTATCCGTCATTCCACTTCATAGTGCAGCACCAAGCCCTTACCTTATTTATAAAAAAAGTCTTTCAGAGAGGAAGAATATATTTTCTATACATATGCATCAGCTTGTTTTCAATGAGATTTATGCTAAAAAGGCCTCCCTCACATCCAGATCTAGGTCTAAAATGCATTAAAAAGTGAATGAGCTGCACTAGATGGGAAGGAGACAAGCTGTTTGGAGCAATCCTCTTTACATTTACACATTGACAAACGCACACAGAAGCGTAGGTGCATGTAAACGAAGACAATCTGCTTCAGAAATCCAACACCCAACCCAGAGTCAGGTTGCAGAGGTTGGGGGGGCATGTAGTGGAAGACCCAGTTCTGCCGGGCTCGTTTCTCATCGTTTTTTGAAGAGCACGGCAGTGAAAACAGAGCGATTCCTGAAAAGGGCTCTCTGCAGGTGATGACTGCACTCCGGTTTTCCAGCAGTTACTCTGAGGTTCCCACTTGCCTGTCAGGTTTAAGTGGAAGTTCTTCAGAGAATGGAAGATAGTCATTTAGGTATTTAGGTTTAGACCAGATATCAGGTGCAATCAGACACTACTGTCAGCCCGGTTCTGGGACAAGGAGACAGGTAATTTGTGACACGTGCTCCCCTTCACACGACACACTGCGATTACAAGACTGAAGACATACACGTTACTATTACCTCAATGCGTGCCAGTGTCCTGCTGCCAAGTTATTCAGCTGCTGAGGATGGAGTTGTTGGATAGAGCAATATATCATGACTAGCTACAAATGAGCAAAAAACAACCTCCTCTCTCTTTCTTATGAAACCCAAAATAAAACCCATCATCTTTAATTCCAACCTGCAAATCACAATTTTCTCCTATGGGCAAAAACGATCACTGCATGATTGGGTTTTGGTTTGTTTGTTGGGTTTTTTTTCTTTTCTTTTCTTTCCCCCCACTTTTTCATCTTACATTTGCTAACTCAAATTCCAAAGTCAGAAAAAATATATATGTATTTAGTCAGAAGTATGTCAGTTACATTTTATTAACCTACGCCAAGGGAAAAGCTTCGGGGATTCACCATACAAGTATAAAACCCCTTTCAAACACCTAGGGGTTACTATATTACTTCATCCCAGCAGTCAATCAATGCAGTAAAAAAATTAAAATACTGAAAATGGATGCTTTTCCCCTCTTTCACATGTCCAGTGATTGCTCCATTACAGCGTGATGAGGTCTACGAGGTTGCCTTTAGGAGGGGTCATGTTGTCTGGAAAGAAGTTGACTAGTGTATCAAACAGCTGAGTTCTCTGCGCGTATGTGTGGTCAACATCTGAAAATCCTGGGGGAGGAAGAAAAGGGGAAAGTAAGTCAGGGCTCACTACTTTAAATGCTCAGTTTAGCTGTGGAATATGCCAGTTGTCCATTTTGGATGGATGTTAATTATTTGCTGCTTCTGCTTCAATTAACTAACAAGGCTCCTAGCTCTCCATCCCACTACTATATGAAGATACACACAGAGATCACGTCATCCCAAGCCAACACTGCAATCAAAATGCCATAAAAAGTAATAAGCAAATGGCTGTCAAGCTCATTGACAGTCTTGAAGAGATGGGGGAAGCAAGAGTCCTCAAGGGACTGCTCTGATGTCCCAGAAAACAAAATCTGTGTAGCTATTTTTATTTGGTGCTTCATTTCTTCTGTCCTCGGGCTTTCCTCATTATCTTCACTTCTGTCTTAACCAGAACTGGTACCTGTCTTGCAGTTTTTCTTGAGACAAGCTCTGCAGATGGTAGGAGCCCCAAGTCAGCGTTGCTACTTAATCACTGGACTTGTATTGAGGACCCAGGCTGCATCTTGGCACAAGGGTGCCTTGCGAACTGTTTTGTGAAGTGCAGCCTCCCAACAAGGGAGGGGTTAGTCTGTGGCAGAAGTATTGTTTGTCCAAATCCTCACACTTCAACCATCAACAGCAAGAACAATAGAGTGGCATACAACGATTTCCCCTGCTTTGTATTACTTCAATCACTGGTATCTCAAAGGAATGCTTTTTAATCCACTAAACTCACTCTTCAGTTAATCAAAGTTATCCAAGTCAATAAAATCAAGGAGGGCTTGGGTTTTTTGTTTTCTTTTAGAAGCACCACTTGATGTAGGTATCCTTCAATCTGTAAAGCCAACGTATTGTATTGTGTCAAGAACAAGATTTATCTTTTAGAATGCTTAAAAACTAGGGAAAAAAACATCTTTCTGAAGCATGGATTTTTTTTCCTTTTAAAAAAAAATAATCTTATCAACTAGATAACGTCTTCCAAACCACACAAACGCAGCAGAGCTCAGTGCTGATAGCACAGGGGCTTTCTCCTTTCCTCAGTTCCTTGGATTGGGAATTACACATCCATAAGAAATTGAAGTCATCCATGCTCCCAGCAAGAACCCGGTAACTTGAGGACAATATATTATTACAAGTATTAAAGTTGTGCCTATAGCCTTCCTATAGCTTGCCCAGGATTAATCTCTTAACTGTTTAAAAGAGTTAACTGGAGAGAATAGTGAAACAAATTATGGCTTTGGCTCAGACCTCCTGTTTCCAGCCCTACAGGCCACTGTTTTCTTTGCTCTTGACATTGTGCCCAAAGAACTAGTTTTGTAAAGAACAGAGCGAACCAAACTACTCCAGGAATTGCAGTTATCACAGCAAACAGAGCCGTAGCCATGCTGTGAGATTCCAAAGTGACATGAGAAGAGGTGCTGTATTCTGACCAAAGCTTCTGTTTATTTGGGGAACAGTGAAGCATCAGATGTAATAAGAGACACAAAATGATCCCAGGAGGCGTGGGTTTAAAACCACTGGTGACAGATGTTTTAAATATGGGCTCGAGGCATTGGACACTGGTCATTATAAATAATCTCTCAAATGTCTGTGTAGTGGCACTTTGCATATTCAAAGCAGAAAGGGCGTACAATATTTCTATGATCTATAACATTGGATATAAAAAAAACCAGTAAAAACTAACAGTAATTATCAGAGAGAACATACTTGGTGTAATTCTTCTGATACACAATACTCACCAAGAGTGGTGAAATCCGAGCCAGACTTAAATAACGCTGAGGCAAGAAGCTGAAACTGCAGAAGAGGAGGTGGAGGTACAAAGAAAGAAAGAAAGAAAGAAAAAAAAAAAGTGTTATTAATTGCACAGGAAAAAACCCAAAAGATTCACAGTAGTTCAAGTGGCTTTAGAGTTGCTGGGTGTTCTTTGCACAATCCTTAGAACTACGGTGCCATACACATGAATAACAGCAGCAGCCACTGTTGTAAGAACAATAATTCGCCACCTTGGCCGAGCAAGTCGGATGGTTTCTCCTAGAATGAGAGCAGCTTTGATGCAATGAAAGGATCTTGCCTGGGAGCCCTAAAATCTAACTTCTTATATATACTTTTTTGCATCTCTGGCAGATATCACAGTGCAAAATAAGGCAGATCCTCTTCCACACAACATTATTCCCAGGGATGAACATGGGACTGTCTCAGCAGCATAAAACCAGGGTAACTGCTACAGTGCAGCATGAACTTCTTGAATGGAGAGAAAGCTTTAAAAGACAACAACCTCTCTGAACTGCCAGAGAAGCTCATATCACAAGTTTAAGGTAATGTCTTTTTAATTAAAAAGAAAAAAAAAAAAAAAGTTATTTGCTTGGGAACATCAGAATCATGAGTAAAAATGTTTCAAGTAACACATTCATGGTTTTATTCTCCCTTATTGTCTTAATAATAGACAGTGAACACAGTATCTTCCTCTGCCCTGGCTGCTGTTTTCATGCTTTGTCGTGTTTCCTTAAAGAATTAGCTGATCCCTTAAAGGCTTGTAATCTTTTGTCTCCTGTCTGTGTGTCTTTACAGTGCACAGCTCGAAGGAAAGAAGGGGGGGGAACAGAAAAGAAGCAAATATGTTCAGGGAAGGAGTGGGAAGGAGAACTTAGAATTAATTTTAAATAAGTTTAATTTCAGTTTCAAGAAAAAAATGGGAACACAGACAATTTGCAGGCATCTAGGAGTTGAGAAAGTGATGAGTAGCAGCAACAAGTTGTATCACATCAATCTGATTTCTCTTACAACAGAGCAGCAGGACCCATGGAAGGGATTTGGGAATAGACATTGTCCGTTTTGACTTTCGTAGGACTTCTGATGCTTTTATATGATATTTAAGGCAAATTATCAAGGTATCATTTAGATTAAGCTAACAGGGAACGGCAAATAGGTCAAATAACTTTCCCGTGGGTAGCCATCAACAGTGTGACATCAAAATGGAGCCATGAATCAGAAGTGATTCATCTGTGCCCCAGGGTCAGCATCATTCTGGGTTTTCAGTGACAACCTGCTTGACAGAACAGGACATGTTCACTGAGTCCACAGACCTCACACCATGCTCAGACATGCTGCCAGCATGGTAGCAGACAGGCTTCAGACTGATTTTCCATTTCATCTAGCTTGTAACGATGGATCAAGGTGCAATAAGGCAACTAATGACAAGACAAGGGGAAACGGGTTTAAGCTGAAAGAGGGGAGGTTTAGATTAGATATTAGGAAGAAGTTCTTCACTGTGAGGGTGGTCAGGCACTGGAACAGGTTGCCCAAGGAAGTTGTGGATGCTCCTCCCTGGAAGTGTTGAAGGTCAGGCTGGATGAGGCTTTGAGCAACCTGATCTAGTGGAAGGTGTCCCTGCTGATGGCAGGGGGGTTGGAACTGGATGATCTTTAAGGTCCCTTCCAATCCAAACCATTCTATGATTCTATGAAGTCACTACAGACAAGTACAAATCAACATAAACAGGCATGATCAGCTATACAAAACAGGTCGGGGTTATTAGGATCTGTGGAGATGCATTTAGGAGTTATAACAGATCAGCATCATCCTACTGCAAAAATGACAAATGAGTAGAAAACACAGGAAAAGGAGCAGTATCTTCAAATAAATCAAGTACTCCTGCGGTTATTAAGGCTCGTAAGTCTCATCCACAATAAGTCAACCACTTTTGAACGCCCTGGATCAATTAAGAAGATATCAAATATGTATGAAATATGAGGAAAATGGTAGAAAAAAAAAAATCAAGTGGTCTGAAAATCAAGCTCTATAAAGAAAGTTCAAAGGAGTCGAGGTTGCAGAGCCTCCACAGAAAAATACCCAAGGATGAAACTGCAAAAAGTCACAAAAGTAAAGGCTGCTACAAAAAGGTAAATCTACAACTAAGTGTAAGAGGTCACAAAAATACTTCAGCAAGATCAATTTCAACATGACACCAAAAAAAAAAAAAGAAAAAAGAAAAAAAAAGACTGAGAAGACTGTAGTGTGCTGGAATAAGTTTGCAGCCTTTTGGGGAGGTTATCATGGTAAGTTAGCACTGCAGGTATTTAAGAACAGGTTAGAAAGATATAGGATTGACAGACTGCAGAACAGGGGGAAGAGGTTGATTAAGTACCCTCTTGAGAGGTCTGGTTTTCTGAAATCAAGAGGGATTGCAATGCTACACATGTATTTCACTGCTAGTCGAACTTGTAAGAGTTGCTTGGCTCCAAATCAGCAACATACTTAAAGAGATGCCCAGCAGAAACAGCTCCAATAGTTCCAATAAAATGGGTGGTTAGATCTGTGCTGCTTCTGATAGGGAGTGCCACGTCCTGGCCACCTTCCCCTCACACACAATTGCCTTACGGGCTTGCTGCCAACTGCCTGGTAGCACATGAAGCTGGTTATGCTGGGACAAAACAGACACCACATGCTTTGAGGGGTTCCCTTTCCTCTCCCAGCAACGCCGGCAGCCATCCTGCTGTACAGAGAAAGCAAGCTGTGCTTGAGGCTGGGTCTCAGGATGCTCAACTAAGAGACCATATAAGCAGGATCCAGCTAGTAACTTGCTGAACTGAGACAAAAATCCATTGAAAAGACCCTCTGCCAAGTATTCCAGCCTCATCTGCACGAGGCATGATGGATTTTCATGGCTATGAGTTTCTTCCCAGCTTTGTGGGGAAGGAATACCTTGTCTCCTCCTTCACTGCTGACACTGCACTACAGTTAACCTTGAGGTTTGTTGTTTGCTTGTTTTGAAATTATATTTTATGTAGCAGCTCACATTTAAAATGCACTTTCTGATAGAAAAGTCAAGCACCTAAGTTAAGAACATTAGTTCTGGGCAGCACTGAGCAGCTGCTTCACTCTGCATTTGCATTACAATGCCAGCTGAGCCTGTGATGTTCTCCCACAGGACCTCTACTTTTTTTCCACTGCACAGGACGGTTACTGCTTTCTCAAGACCAGGTCTCCTACACACACCGTTCACAGCATATATCCAATGCAGTATTTTCTTCATAAAGTTCAAACTCTGCTCTAAAGATGGAATTAATTTCTTCATCAGGTTTTCTATCATATTAATTTTTAGCATAACAGACAGCACTTCAAATTCTGATTAGTTTTGGGTCCCCTATTTGAAACTACCAGAATCTAATTTTTCAAAATATGAAGTATTATGCAGCAGCTTCTGAATTCACTTGCAGCCAGAGAAGCAAAGCCCTGAGGCAAATCACACCTCAGATCTCTCCCATCAGGCACCAGAATGAAAGACCCAATTAATGACCATCTAGGAAAAACAATTTGCTTAACATCACATAGCAACTCTGTTACAGAGGCAGGACCAGAATTCAATTATCCAGCAGAAACACGCACCTGCTTTAATCACACCACCACCCGTTTTCTTCTAACAATCCCTCTGGCTTCACCTATTCCAAATTAAGCCTCTATTCAGAAGACAATAGTTCCCTTCATTAAAAAATTAACTTCTCTCTTGGAGATCCAACCCACCTTCTGAACTGAGGCAGGGGTTCTTTAGAGATAAATGTGTGTGGTTAACTAATATATGGCTAAATTAGTTATGTATCTGGCTTATTAGTTATATATATATGTATATGGTTAACTAATGTAAGGTTAATTAATAACATAGGAGAGGGCTGGAGCACCTCTCCTATGAGGACAGGCTGAAAGAGTTGGGACTGTTCAGCCTGGAGAAGAGAAGGCTCCGGGGAGATCTTATAGTGGCCTCCCAGTACCTGAAGGGGCTACAAGAAAGCTGGGGAAGGACTTTTTACAGTGGCAGGTAGTGATAGAACAAGGGGTAATGGCTTTAAGCTGAAAGAGGGGAGGTTTAGATTAGACATTAGGAAGAAGTTCTTCACTGTAAGGGTGGTGAGACAGTGTCCCAGGTTGGCCAGAGAAGCTGTGGCTGCTCCTCCCTGGAAGTGTTGAAGGCCAGGCTGGATGAGGCTTTGAGCAACCTGGTCTAGTGGAAGGTGCCCCTGCTGCTGGCAGGGGGGTTGGAACTGGATGATCTTTAAGGTCCCTTCCAACCCAAACCATTCTGTGATTCTATGATTCTATGAACATCAACAACATTCAGAGAGAGGCTAAATTAAGACTACATGGGTAATATTAATTCTGGCATATTCCAACTTATGATCTTCATGTTTCCAACATTATTGTTCTTTTATCAGTTGTGTGTACTTTATCTCAGTTTCTACCTACAGCAAAAAAAAAGCAATTCTTCCATGTGGTAACCCATGCAAGTTTTAATGTATTTGTTGCACCCCTCTGCCTTTTGTGCAAATGAAATGGTTAACACCACGGAGGAATGAGTAATTCCTGTTTGGGATACCTGGCAGGTTGTGTGAATCAGACATAATTCCTCCTCCATAACCTCTGCACGGTGAGTGCTTAGATCACAGCGTAAAACATTTCCTCAGCTTTGACCAGCTCTGTTGGGATGGTGCCTGGTAGTGTAGGCTCAAAGAAGCCATGAGAGGCTTCAATTCTTTGAGGACAGATCTGTCACTAGCTGAAGTTGCGAAGGCTGAACACTGTTTTTCTAAAGCCTCCTTGGCTCCAAAGCCTCTGCTCCTGCAGTACTCAGACTCTGAGGCTTTACAAAGAATCACAGCAGGACATGAAGAAGAGAAGCATGCTTTTCTTAGCTCCTTCCTAGAACTATTTTTCCCACTTGGGCTTCAATTTTCCCAGAAATATCAGTCTAATGCAGATTCAAACAATACTTTTGGGCCCTGCTGGCTTTATCTGGCAAATTTATTAAAGACAAGATCTTAAGAATGGAAAGTATGAAGCAGCCTTGAACAGGGCCTCCAGCCTCAGTCTACAGGCTAGTCAGGCCTCAAAAATTGGCCTCCAGGTCCTTGCTCCTTCTCCTACCATGCTCCAAGAAAAACATAATGTAAGTTAGACTTGCACTTTGTAACCATTTTACAGCAATCATGCCATTGAGCTTCACTAATAGCTGAATTTCAGTCTCAATGTACAAAATCATCTTACTCTCCTTTACTTGGGCAGCACTCGCCATTTTTTGTATCGTTTTGATTTCTTCTATAGACCACCAAGCAACTGCAAAGTTCTGAGTATGATTACTCCAGTACTCAAGAGCAACACCTTTAACCTTGTACATGATCTATCAATGTTTTTGTGCTTGAACAGCATCTGTTTTTTTTTCCTTGACATAAGTACAGAACTTGGAATTCATTTTGATTTTCTATTTTGACCATCCTTTTATTGTTAAAAGCCTCTACTTCCAAACTACCACCAAGTGCACATCTGTGTACAAAGGACATAGAAGAACACCCATGTCACCAAAAATTTTTACACCAACAAATGCCAGGTTTTTTTTTTACAACTTGAATCTCTCCATGAACTAGAATACACAAACTTCCATGTGCTCTGGGGATCTACCTTCCTTTTACATAGTGTCAGAGCTATTAATCCATACACAGTAAAAAAAAAAGATTCACTGATCTGAAAACACTGAATTAGCTGAAGAGGTTTAAGCAATTTCAAGGAGACTCACAGTTAAAGAGAAGGGGACCTGCATTTGTGGGCGGTAGCAGAGACAGAGCTGGCATACAGCTTGTGGCTACTAAAACAAGCACCCAGGCAATAGCCGTTACTTGCAGGCATCTATTTCACTTTAGAGTAATAAAAAAGAAAATAAAACTATAACCCTATTAACATCCCTAAAATTCACAAAAAAAGGAACAAAAATCTCGGAGTATGTTCCTACTGTCCATCAGTCATGCTACTTTAAACAAAATCGGTTACTAATGACAAAGTAAGTTTGGAGAACAGTCTGTTTATTTTCTTTGGCATCCAACTCAAAACAGCTGAAGAGACTTGCCTAACAAAGTTTCAAGAAATTACTTCTATTATAAAGCAAATAAGCCTTACCTCAAAGTGAAATTCTGCTTCTAACATTATATAACACTACCCCTACCTCAATCCATAAAACATGAAACCATATAGACCAGTCTCTAAGAGAACTGTAGCACAAAGTCAGTGATAAACCTATTCAGCTTGGTCCTTCCCAAATTTAAGTTACTCTGGAAAGAAGGAAAAGAACAGGAAAAAACCAATTCCCTTAATATTTACTATGCTAAGAAGTCTTACACCATTCAACGGCTGTAGCCAGCACAGAGCAAGTCGATCAGATCTATAGCCTTTGATATTAAATAAGACAATCTCGACTACAAATAAAGAGTATGTAGGTGTCTGGGCTGAGATAAACAATTAAACTGGTGCTTGAAATTTGATATGGAATCCAAAAAGCCTGCGTCAGTCCTTTGGAAAGCACAAGAGCTATTTGAAGATGTAATGCCAGAGCAAAAAGCCAACTCAATGTGATAACCGGAAGGTAAATTGACGTCAACTGGAAATACACCCAGTCAGTACCAGCGCAGTAGCTGGCTCTATGCCATATACCTGGCAGATCTGTTCCAGCGTAAAAAGCTTTGGATGTTAAAGCTTTTTGACCAGTACAATTTAAAACAAAACAAAACAAAACACCAAACCTGAAAAAAAAAAAAACCCACTGCCAAACAAAAACATCCCCGGAAATTGTTAAATGATTTTAGGAGACCACTGGAACAGAAGCTTTAAATTCTGCTGAATGGTATGAATTGATCCAACAGACCATCACGATGGACAGAAGCTATTGAATTTTTGTTCAGATCAGGCATTAGGCCTGCAGAGAAAGGATTCACAATATATTCACTCAGCTGGATTGAGCTACCTAAGCTCATACGCTAGATCATTAATGCTCAGAACACTGGTACGCCCTGTGAAAAGGGACACTTTTTAAAAAAAAAACCAAAAACATTTTATGATGTTTGATATCTGATTGTATGATAAAGCTACTACTTTTCCCCAAAATCTCAGAGGAGTCTGGTAAATTCTTCATTCTTATAAGGTGGACAAGTTAAATACTACACACTCAACTGGGAAAATCAAATGTAGAGTATTAAAGGATTTTCCATGCCAGACATGCACAATGTGGAGCCCTGATGGCAGTTCCTTTGCTCTGCTGGTGACAGTGGGAAGTGTGAACTAAAAGGAGAGGAGCTTGCTGATCACACCACAAATGTTTTCTGTTCAGGCAATAAGAAGGCACAACCAGCCATGAGATGCAAGATCTCTTTAGGAGTGACCAAAGAAGGACATGGTCTTCTCAGGAATGATGGGACTATGAGCACACAGGTATGTCAGGGAGAAAAAGGGAGAGCAGAGAACACAGGACATGGTCTTAAAGTGGGTGGGAGGGAGAATTAGGGGAGAAGAGAGCATCAGAATGGTTGTTGTAGGTTATAGGTTATCACAAGTTCAAGTAGAAAGAGGAAAGTGCTGCCACACTGAGAAGACAAGGCATAACTAGGCTGATGCCCCTTGAAGCACGCTTCATGGGGAAAAATAAAACTCCTTTTCTACATGAAATAAGGCAAGATCAGCTGTTATTTGTCTTTCTTATGCTAGAAACGGCTACAAAGGATGTGAAACTACTTGATAAGGGACAATTTAAATGATAAATCATCTAACAGAAAACTTAAAGGCAAAGCACTTAAATGTTTTACTGGATGTTTATAAAGGCTAACCAGAATTTATGACAAATGTGATGAGTTCCAAGTTCCTGATATGAGTAAGTATCTTTCTCTTAATTCCTCTAACCCTACAGTTCTACCTATAATCCTATACTGTGCATATGCAATAATCAATCTCCCCTAAAAATTTTTAGTGTCTATATAATGATCTTTTTTCTTTTTTTTGTTTCTTTACTTGAAGTAACAACTTAAAACCCACAGATCAATTGATTTAATCCAGAGACTCAGTATGGAATAACAGTGCCCATTCTCCTATCACAGATTCATAAAAGGACCTGTGGAATCACTTCCTAAGCCACTAATGCAAGGAGAGGGTAAGAACCATGGTGTCCTCTTCCTCATCTAACCATAAGTAGCTGAAGGCTTGTACATCCAGCTGGGCTGCCCCACATTCCATGCAGAAATTAATGGCAGAGTCAAATCAACCACCTTATCTGACACTTTTCACTATTTCTTTAATCCTTTTTGTAAAGTGACACGTACTGCGGTAATGGAATCAAAACAGGAAATGGGAACAAATTCCTGGAACAAATAAAAGAACTTGCCCACTGGATAATATTCAAAAGGCAGAGGAAATAAGAGTTTAAGGTTAGTGAGCAATGTATATATACAATCTACTTCCAGAAATACTTATCAACTTAGAGAAAACCCTCTTCCCCCCCCCGAGAGCTATTTAATATAGACAAGCCAAAAGGCAGCGTGAATAAGAGTCTCTATTCACTGTCTACCACATAACCCACTACAGACTCGTGACATCTCAGAGTTTACATTTCAATTAAAGCTCCCAAAATACACACCAGTACGTTGGAATTAAAACAAAGGCCCAGTCTTCACTATTATGAGTACAAAAGCTATTTTATCTGGCACTGTAATTGTAAAATGACTGTTTCTAAAGCAGAATGATCTTTAGAGTAGAGAAACAGAAGATATAGCGAAGTGTCATGCACCTGTAGAGCGTTTTCAAATTGGATTAAAAAAAAGTTTAAGAGGTTTAAAGTTTCCATGTGAGAACAGTTTACATTTCTTTTATAAGTACAACAAAGATCTTTCCTCACTACCTCTTTTGTCTCCTCAGGGTCTGAATGATCCACAGTTACATACAAATCATTCTGCAGGTACTTCAGTGCACTAAGAGGGTCCGTCTGAGCTTTTTCTTCAAACCTGCAAAGAAGTGACAGAACACATGAGTGTATTTTCTTCAGGTCTACGTACTACTCTCTCTACAAAGAGCAAAACCTAGCAAATGAAACTTTCAGCCAAATATTTTCAAATAAAACAGTGTTAATGGCAGCTCAGCCTCATATTTGCTGGTGTACGTGCTTTCAAGTCAGAGTGAAACACGGAGGAGCATTTTTTGGAGGTGTATGGGAGTTATAAGGGCAAAGTATTACACTCTTACCAAAAATGTTCAAAAGCACACATACAGCAGCTTCTTAATACACAAATAGAAAACATTTAGTACATTTTCCACAAATAAAGTAAGGTATGAGTAGCACCTCCTGTGAGGAGCACAGTTCAGATACAGGCAAGCCTCGAGCACTCCAGCCTCAGGGATATTTACATTCCTGACCGCTCAGAAGCATAACTGAAGTACAGGGATGGAGAATGCGCCTTGCTTCTGCCAGACAACAGAAAAAGGAGATGATGGGGGTGAAAATCCCTGGATTCAATGAATATTGTGCCTTAATATCCCACCTTTGGAAAGAACACACGTACATAAAAACCCTGTGCACCACCGCTATTATTTTATCATTTTCCTTTAACGAACAGAAACTGGAACTTCTGTGAATTCCCTGAAGAAGTTAATACAGCCCTCAGAAAATGACTCTGGGCTCAGCATCCTCAGTGAGCAGAGCTACTTCCCTGCAGCACTGTGTTGGGTGCATAAGCCTAGAAAGGATGAGGTTTAAAATTATTTTATCTTTTTCTCCTATCACCTGTCCTCCAAGTGCAGCATCACACTCTGTTTGTCATCTTCTGAATCACCAATAACCAGTACTACGCCTTTCCAGGAAAATAAGCTTAGACAATTCTAGATTCCAGAGACAAGGACCCTAAAAACAATGTTCTCAGTTACTTAACTGCCTCGTATCAACTGCCTTACAAGAATGCATGATATTTTATTCATAAGATATTTCAGTTATCTTTAACAGGATTCTAGCTTGTCAAACTGTAAGAAATCACACTGAATAGATTTAATCATCTTGTTATGTTTTTTATTTGGGTCATCTACTTGGTTATTTATTCTGTAGTGGACTTTTGTAGCCCAAATTTTGAAATTGTCTACAGATGCAGGTCATTTAGCCAGTGCATGGAGCACAATCATCTGTTACCTGATGTACTTGACATTTTGGCAATTAAGCATATTTTCTTCCAAACATTCAGATTGATTTTCTTAGATGATACTGCCATGGTCCAGAGAGATTAAGTATCTTAAATAAGTGAAACCATTGACACCTTGTTCTTCTACAGCTGGCCAGCTTGGCTCTGCTATGGCTGACTGGTACTAAACAAGTTAATAGGCCAAAGAGGACTCCAGCTGATGCAGTGGATTCGCTGTGTATGCAAACCAAGTACCTGCTCTGGTACCTAGAGCTTGAGGGAGTGCAGATAATGGGCAGCCAAGTGACTCCACAGCAGTTCAGCTCCAGCCCTGAGAGGCAGATGAACTCCAGCAAAGCACCCATCATACCAGTCCCTGGTTGGTCATGTTCAGCTCCCTCATATAGACCTCAGTAAATGGTGTATAAACCCCAAACTTCTGCCAGACAATATGCAGCAACATTTCCTTTGAGTGTAATTTAAACAAGTAAAAACAAGTGATCCAGAGCTGTCTCTGGAGGCTACACAGCTGCATTTGCATACAACCACACGTGGGTTTAATAAACCTCCCAGATTACTGGGCAAGATCTTTATTCATTCTTGTAGGTATTCACATCTATTGCCTGGCTACTGTGCAAAGGCCTCATCAAGCCACAGTGATTGTGAGTTGAGCGTAGCAATTTGCTTGCTGCCTCAGAAGTAAAATACCATCTGTAAAAACCAACCTCCCAACTCTTGGCAGAACCTGATAACAAAGTATTCTCACCAGGAATGCAGAAAGAGCTATTTATTGGCCTCAAATAACTTGCTGGGTCTTGAAAGGCTGCCTCGCTGCTGCAATTTCTTGCCTAAGGCAACACCATAAGCTTGATTTTGAAAAACTGTTGCCCTAAATAGCAAATATAAGGCAGCTCTGAAACATCCAGAGTGCAAGAAGCATCACAGCATAGCTGAATTCTGCAGTAGTGAGACTGTTCAAGTCATTCTGAATGAGAAACTCTGATGACCTCACCACAGCTGAGTTTCAGATATGCAAAGGCATCCAGCCCCCAGACTTCATTAGCATCCTTGCGAGCTGTTACTATCTCCTAGCACAGTGTTTCAGAAACATACTCCACTTCCTTGAGAGGTAACAGTACCAAAACACATGTTGATGAGCATCAGAGTGAAAAGAGAATCTAAAACTTCTCCATGACTCCCCATAAAATAGCCAGATTTTTCTAGTTTTATAATAACATAATAAAAACCAGAATGAAATTAATCTTGTAGTTTAGCCCTGCCCCACTGCATTTTTATTAGAATATTCTTTTAAAAAATAAAAATAATATATA